GCTCTGACAAATAAAAAAAATCTTGGCTTGAGAACTAACTACCCTATGTGTTTAAATGGACACACCATCCTGGTAACATATTCCTGAACCACATTCCCCCTGCAATATTCTATAATCTCATTTTAAAGTGTTTGAGTGGGGAGAAATGAAGCACTCAGCTGGAGTGTTAAAATATAAAGAGGAATGCACTTCCTGTTGCTTCAGCATCAGGATCTACACTTCCTGTGGGACTGCAGAGGCTAAAAAGGTCTTTATAACAGGAAGGGCAGGTCAGGCTCAGCATATCAGTCAACCAATAGCAGTTCAGTACACTGATTGACAAATGGTTTCTGCAGGTCTGTAGTGTATAGCTTGTTGAATAACATATTTAAATATGTTCAGTGTCAATTCATTATTTTAAGAAAAAAACTGCTATTGTATAGTAAATGTCCTACATTTAAATTGGTGTACTTTTGGAAATGGAGAATGATGAAAATTGATAAATGAATGATGAAAATTCCTTTCTTTCACTCTAGATTTTTTAATATAATATGCAGTTGTTATTTTAGTATTATAGTATTATATTTATTAGTACTCTAACTGTTATTTTTGTAATTTGTTTTCATTTTAATTAGTAGTTTAAGTTTTAGTAATTTCATGTCATTTTTATTATTATTTTTTTTTAAATATGTGGTTAATTTATTTATAATAACTTATAATAAATAAAAAGTTTTTGGTTTAATGAACTACTTAACATATTTCAGTTAGTAGTCAAGTTTTTCATCAAATATATATATATATTTTTTATTTTCATTTGAGCTTTATTTAAATTACAGAAATGTATTTATAGAAACAGTTTTATTTTTTAGCTTAGTTTTAGTTAACGATAGCAACATTGGTAATATATTGTTCATACAAGAAACTAGAACAAGCAGATTCTCGAACATGCAGATATTTTAGACCGTTGGAAGCATTACATTGCATTGGAAATCTTTGTTTTTTTTCTGCATCTGTGTAAATTTCCTTTCCACTTTAGTTTGATGTATGATCATCATGCTATCAGTCTGATTTCATGATTTTGGCATTACAATTTATGACAGATCACAAGCCTACATAAATTCTTTTAAATATGTCTGTCAAGTTAAGCTCAATCTATCATATTTTAGTTTTTAAAGCAGGAAAAATGACATTTTCATCACATAAAGATGGCTATGCCTTTCATGGAGACTTCACAGCAGCAGAGCTCAAGTTTACGCTACTCAAACTGCATTTTACAAGCACAGACTTTGTGTTGACTGTGAAACTTTGCACCCTTAAACCTAATACTCGAGGTTGATGGTAATTGACATATTTCAGTGCTTGCGTGGCTTTGGACTCGCTCGTGTGTGAATTTGTTTAGTTTGACTGGGAGTGTGGTAGAAATGGGCTGAGGCTCATTCCCAGAGGCATGGATCTGCCTTTCTGGCATGGCAACAGCACATTTACTCAGTGACCTAAATAAAAGACTGGATTCAGGAATGCTGGGAGAGCAGGTCTGCATTGATTCTCTAGCATTTTTTTTATTTTATTTGCATTTAGATGATGGCTTGATATTCTTGGTCAATGTATTAAATCTAAAGACTGTCAGTTCTGAAAATCTGGGGATAAAACATTGAACATGAAGCCTGTGGATGCTGTTATTTTAGAGTAACAATACGGTCACATATACACACACCTTTAAAAAGAGATTAAGAAAACAGGTGTGGAGAACACGCCACAGCGTGTCTTTGTTCATACCAGATCCGTTCAGAGGTTCATTCATTCAGTAAAGGTGTTCAGTGAAGGAATTGTACACCGTGCTTAGTGTTTCAAACAGAATACACCCTAAGGAGGGGTACATTAAAAAGAACTAGCAGACGATGTTCCTCTCATAACCCTACCAGACTTGGACTCTTACTTTCTTAAAGATCTTTATTAGAAAGAAGAATTTTTAATGAACATGTTTTTTTCTCTTAATTATAAATGGGGAACCACTTACTTTTATACTGTTTTGTAAGAATCACCCTTCAATCTTTTGGTTTATCTTGCTGGATATAGTAAATAATGACAAAATGAATGTGTTAAACAAGATAAATGGTATGCTTAATTTCATGATAAGTGTGCAATTAATCGTGATTAATCTCATTAATCCAATTAAAAATTGTAATCTATTGACAGCCCTAATGAGAATTAATATATATTTGTGCTTTTTTTATTTTAGTTCAATAATATTTTTTTTCTTTTATGTTTTTATTATTTAAGGGGGTTTTACTAAACATTAACCTCTGAATTATGCACCATTTATCATCTGCAATACCACAGTGTAACCACTAAATGGCTATAAACCGTTTGCTGCAGAGTGAGAACGTAAAGTACATTTCTTGATTTAAGGTTATTCATTTGAATATATTTTCATACATTATTAAAGACTACATTTAGTAAAAGTTGACATTTAAATGTTGATTTGAAGTGTCAGTTATTATTATTGCCGTCAAATCTGGACACAGAGAAAGCGTTTTGTTACTCATACTAGCAACAGGGAGATCAGTCACACGAAAGTCATCAGAATAAATTTTGGCTCAGTGTGACCAGGGTGATATTTTAAAATATGTGACCCTGGACCACAAAACCAGTCTTAAGTCGCTGGGGTATATTTGTAGCAATAGCCAAAAAAACTATGTATGGGTCAAAATTATCGATTTTTCTTTTATGCCAAAAATCATTAGGATATTAAGTAAAGATCATGTTCCATGAAGATATTTTGTAAATTTGTAAACTTAATTTTTGATTAGTAATATGCATTGCTAAGAACTTCATTTGGACAACTTTAAAGGCGATTTTCTAAATATTTTGATTTTTTTGCACGCTCAGATTCCAGATTTTCAAATAGTTGTTTCTCGGCCAAATATTGTCCTATCCTAACAAACCATACATCAATGGAAAGCCTATTTATTCAATTCAAATCTCAATTTCAAAAAAACTGACCCTTATGACTGGTTTTGTGGTCCAGGGTCACATATATAATTCATTACATACCATGAACGGAGACGGTCTGTGGCTGTTGTGTATCTTCCTCCTCTTTGTAAAAATCTGCATCGCAATCAGCTGGCAAATTCAGATTCAAGTAGCTTTATTGGCATGGTTAAAGAGCCTTTACAAAGCATTGGCAGCGTTTCAAACCAATGGTGTTGAGCATTATCAAATTTAGAGGCTACAATAGGCAGCGAATCAGGCAGTGATTGACAGCGCTCTGATCCAATGTTTCCAGTCACAAACCACATTCGACAACATATAAAAACAAAATAATCTTTAGAGTAATTTTATGAACAAATGTGGAAAATTAAAAACGTAGGGAAACTCCTCAAAGCTGACTGGCAGTTGTCTTTCCTTCATCACTGACTTTTGTTTAGATTCAACCTGGTCAGTCTTTTCAGTATTGTGATAGTTATAGTTTGAATGTTTCTCAGGGAATGCATCGAGTGCCGTCTCTTTAACTCGGGGAGACTGGCCGATAACCAGACCTGTCAGCGCATGTGCAAGGATGAGATCATCACCGTGGAAACACTCAGTGAGTGCACACTCAAAAACACTTGACACACTGAATGATGTTTTGGGGCGGCTTCTCTAACACTGTATCTCTCCACCCTACACAAACACACTTCTTCCTCAGATACAAATACATATGTGGATTGTTTAAGCCAAAATTTTAAGTAGAATGTATTTGTTTGTATGTTTGTGCTCTGCTATCAATTAACTGTTAGTACTTGAATTGACTCGTTTGAGAAAAGAATGGCATGCTAAAACATTACCCAGTTTTCAGATGTTATTTAAAGCTTGTTGTGGAACAAAGAGGTATGAGACTGAGGATGCTGAAACTAACTTAACTAAAGCTAACTCACAAGTATTTCTGATTTCTAATGTGAAGTTTGTCTTTAAAAGTATATATATTATTGGCCTATGGGAATTAGGTAGCATGCAACAAGATGATGTCAGCAGAGTTGTTATTTGCACTACATAAACCAACATATGGTCTCCATTAGACTCCTCAAAGCTGACTGGCAGTTGTCTTTCCTTCATCACTGACTTTGGCAGTCGGCAGGGCTTGCTGCAGCATTCTCAGCTGCATTAGTTCCCGCCGCTATGCCCTCGGGTCACTATGAAATGTATGAAGGTCTTCAAAAATTTCTACTTTTACAGAAACATTTATAATAATAATAATAATGCAACAACATGAGGGTGAGTAAATAATGAAAGAACAATCACTTTTAAAGCAGATCTCCTTATCTTTCCTACAAGCTAATATGACCTCTCTGGACTACACATGCATGAAACTGCAACTTTGCAGCATGTGCACTCAATTTTTCCAACAATTTCTAGTTCTTGTGCAGTCAGTGGTGTGAGTCTGAAGCGATAGCTGATGGCACACCAAGTGTTCACCACTGCTTTCAATCTGTTCACAGCTGTTTTGCCATGAAAGCTTGTCTTTTTTTTTTTTATCATTTTGGCTGCAAGACCCTTCGTGTTTTCGCACATACAGTACTACATCAAAATATCAACTTTCACTTGAGTCATTGCAGCCAAATTGAGTCACATTGGCACATTTGCTTCAAAACACAAAAAGAGTTTTGCTCACACTCAGTAATGAAGACACTAGCCAAGAATCCTTGGTGTTGGAATGAGGAGATCTGCTTGTAATCAGTCCACTGGAATGTGCACAGCCGAGGACAGAGAGACTTCAGAGAATGTGGGAGAAGTAGACAGCGGCCATCTTTGTGTTATTACAGAGAAATGCGTTACGCATTTGTTTCCATTAATGTCAGTGAATGTTGGTTATATGCAAGCTCTCACTCTCACTGTGTGCATTTGTGTGTGGTCTTTGTGTTCATACCTCGTCTTTTAAACATTTTTGAACAAACCAGCCATTTGATACAAAATATGAGGTTGCAGAGTTATATAAAGTTATTCTGAACCCCTCTCTCTCTCTCTCTCTCCCTGTTTTCCAGGCCATGGAGAATGCCACTGCGGTGAGTGTAAATGCCATGCTGGTTATATTGGAGACAACTGTAATTGTTCTACAGAGACGACTTCCTGTGTGTCGGACGACGGCAAGATCTGTAGTGGGCGGGGCAGCTGTGTGTGTGGGCGGTGCCAGTGCACTGAGCCAGGGGCATTTGGGGACACATGCGAAGGGGACCGTCACATGTGGTTGCAGCAGGCATCACAATATGGTAAGGGACGTAACATTTCCGTCACACGCTTGAGGCATTCGGCCAATCACAACGCACTGGATAGCTGGCCAATCAGAGCACACCTCACTTTTTCAGACCGATGAGCTTTGTAAAAATCGAGCGTTTCAGAAAGGCGGGGCATAGAGGAGAAACAATAATGTACAGTATGTGGAAAATAATGTGTTTTTTGAACCTTAACCCGCATAAACACATTTCATTACACCAAATACACAAAATAATGTTCTTTTTAGCAGCATCATATGACCCCTTTAAGTTCAGTCATAGAGAAAAAGTTGAGCTCAGTTGAGAGATCAGTCCCTCTCATCAGGACACACTGTTGCTAGAGCACTAGTTTGTGCTTCCAGGTCATGAATGTGTTACCCACAGCAGGGTGAAGCACAGTTTGTGGTGTATCAAGGCCAGCTCTATTTATGTTATTATCTGGAGAATGTGAGTCTGGACGTCTCACATGTCCCACTGTGAAAGCCTGTGTTTACTGCTCTTCCTCTCAACCCCTGCTTATTAATACAAACCACTAACATGTGAAATGCATAAAACTAATTTAGAAAATGTTTATTTTTGTTGTGTATATAGATCTTTTTATTTATTATATTTTTGTATATTTTTTATTTTATTTATTCATAATTATGAAGGTTTTATTAGAGTCCGAAAGCTGTTAATAAAGTTTATGAGAACTTCTCCAGGCTTTTTATAACCGGTTTTATTGCAGGAGGAATTTTTTTACATGTGTCTAGTAATGTGTCTAGGTTTATTGTTGAGCAATATGAAGCTGGACTTCGCTGAAGTGAAACATTCAGGATGCTTGTGAACTCTTTAAGGCCTTTCCATGTCACCCCTAATTGTAAAAGAAGGCATCATGGATTCGATGTTTCACAACATTTCTCTGCCGTTTCAGTCAGCTGACTTCCTTAATGGACTCCACATGTGCATACCGGAAACATCCAGCTCTTTTAGAGAGAGAGAGGGTCCATAGTTAAATGACTGTTGAGAAGGGAGAGACTTCCTAGTCTGTTGGGTGTTTTAATTATGATAACATTTAAACATTCTTGATTAATCTGGGTCCTTGTTGAGAAATGCAGGGTCTGGTGCAACAATAATTTCAGTGTTTCAGTGTTTATGCTGTTGGCTCAACATGCCTTTCTCATTTGATTGCCTGAGCCACAGTTTGGTTTTATTAAACTAAACTCCTCTTTTACTCAATGTCTCTCTATCTGTTTCAGAAACTGATGATTCCAACACTGTTCAATGCGTGTATAAGACCGAGAATGACTGTGTGATGAAGTTCACCTACTCTGAACATGCCAACGGCCAGTCGATCCTCACCGCACTTAAAGAGCCAGGTCAGTGTTTAGCACGTCACAGCTACCTCATTAAGAACTGTGTTCAGAATCATGTTAAGCACACTCATGTTTGGGAAGTATAAGAGAGGAAATGATCAGAATAAAAGTTATATTTGTATTGTCATTTCTGATACAAACATTGTTTTTAATGGGAAAGTACATCATATCATACATTATGGCCATGCATTTATGTATTTTGTGTGTTTACAGAATGTGCTGTTGCCCCAAATGCCATGACGGTGCTCCTGGCAGTTGTTGGCAGCATCTTGTTGATGGGTATCGTGCTGCTAGCCCTCTGGAAACTGGTCATCACCATCCACGACCACCGCGAGTTTGCACGCTTCCAGAGTGCACGTTCACGGGCGCGATATGAGATGGTGAGATTTAATCCATCTACTGCACTAAGTTTGATTGAAAATGAAATGATAGAAATCAGACACTTGTGACAGTGTAAAGTGTCGGAAATACCTGCGACAAAACGTTTTCTTAAGATGATTTCCATTAATCAAGGATCCGGTATTGCTAGTATTATTTTTTTTTTTATTTGCATAATATCGTTCGAAAGTTTGGTGTCAGTAAGATTATTATTATTTTTTTAAGTTTTTGAAGTCTCTTATGCGCTCACCAAAGCTGCATTTCTTTTATCAAAAATGCAATAAAACTATTACTATTGTGAAATATTACAATGTTAATTAATTGTTTTCCATTTGACAATATTTTAAAATGTAATTAATTCCTGTGATGCAAAGCTTCACAGTTTCCAGCATCATTACTCCAGTCTTCAGTGTCACATGATCCTTCAGAAATCATTCTAATATTCTGATTTGGTGGAACGGTAACACTTTATAATAACTTTCATTAATAAATAATTACCAAACATTATATAATGCTTAATGGATCATTAGTTAATATATATTCAAAGAGTTAGAAACGTGAGATAATGTGCTTGTTAATGTTTGCTAATAAACTTATTAAACATTAGATAATGTTCAAACAAATCATTATTTTATGTAAGTTAAAATGCTTACAAATGTCCTTAAATTTACAATTCTATATGATCAAGCACTTATTGAGAATCTACAAATGATTTTAACAGATGTTATAAAATGATTAAAAGCTTGTGTTCGTGCACAACACTTTATCTGCTATTGAGGTGTGATACGGGTAAGGTTAGGGACAGGTTTGGTGGTTTGGGTAGGTTTAAGTGTTGGTTAAGGGGTCAGAAGTGTACAGGGGTCAGTTTGATTATTATGAGGGAACACAGTTCAATCTGTTTATATTATGTTATTTTGATAAATGGACAAGTATTTTCTTTTAAAAAATGATTTGTTTTCCCCTGTTATTTACATTTACACATTTACAAATGATGAATAGTTTCAACTTTAGATTGGCTACAGCAAAAACATGAACAAATGATTAATAAATGATTAGTAAAGATGTGTGAATAGGGTAAATTCAGGTTTTTCTGAACACTTTTTGCCATTGAGATGACTCCTCATAAAGGTATTAATGATTAGTAAACATTTATAAACATTTGCAAATGATGAATAGTTTCCACTTTAGATTGGATACTGCAAAAACATGAACAATTAATGAATAGATTATTTGTTAAGATGTGTAAATAGAGGTCTACACAACAAACAAAGACCAACCAATGAAGATCATATGAACTGAAAATTTACATTTGTAAGCATTTCAATTTACACTAAATAATCACATGTTAATCATTAGGTAATGTTTAGTAAGTTCATTAGTAAACATTAACAAGAACATTATCTCATATTTCTAGCTATGTGAATATATATTAACTAATGATCTGTTAAGCATTATATAATGTTTGTTAATGATTTATAAATGAAAGTTATTATAAAGTGTTACCAATTTTTTTGTAACATTATAAATATCTTTACTGTCATTTTTGACCATTTCAGTGCATCATTGCTGAATAAAATTAATTTTTCAAAAAATAAAAAAGGAAACCGTTTCTTATTATCAATGTTGAAAACAGTTGTGCCGATTAATATATTTTGGAAAAATGTTTCAGGATTTTTTTAATAAACATTCAAAAGAACAGCATTTATTTAAAATAGAATTCTTATGAAACAAGTAAAAAGTATTGATTTCTTTCTTTTGAACAGTAGTCTAGCTGCAGTCTAATGCATTCATATACCACTGTTTGTAAGTTATTTAAAATGCAAATAGCCTGAACTGGCAACTCACAGTGCAATCACAGGGACAATAACAACTAGACTTTGATTGAAACCATGAGGCCTTTTGGAAAACATCAGTCAGCTGGGAGTGCAGAGTCATGACGATCATTCCAAGGCTGTGGTTCAAAGACTCTGTTCGCTCTGCCCTTCTAACCATGTGCATTTCAATGAACCCATCCGACCTATTTACTACTCCATCTCTCTCCTTGTCTTCCTTCTAGGCATCTAATCCTGTTTATAAGCAGTCCATCCCCTTTCACCCAATGGAGACGGATTTCCATATGCATAGTATCAAGTCATGCAACGGAGGAGTCCACTGATCGACCTGTATTTGGACTGGGGGACATGGCAGGACCTGTCCAGCGCACCTCGGCACTACAGTGGAGGACAGAGACAGAGCAAATGCTGTGGTCTTTTGCAATGTAAACTTTTTTTGAGGCGTGTGGTTCCTGAGGATTGGAACTGATCTTTATGCGGTTTTGGTAATGAAAGTTTATTGATGAGCAGCAGATGGACGCATGCCGAATTTGAGAAGAGGATTGGCTTGACTAGTTGGAGAGGCAGAGCTTACCGGCCTTTTCCAGAAACCTCCATTGACCCGCTATGGACTGCTTGCTTGAATATAATTCCTAATTTTTTCCAGTTCTAACCATACCTCCTGCACATTATAATTGATTTGCTGTGCATTGTTTTATAGGCAAAAATAGTATGTAATAGTAAAAAGTGTATATTATGTATATTTTTAACAGTATGCCTTTCCCAGCCATTACACATTTTACATCAATTTATTTACTACATGTAAGTGTGCATAGAACACAAAAAATGCAAAATTCTACAACTCTTTAACGAAGAGATGGGTACTAACCTAACCAGAGCAATAATTCCCTTAACTCTTGTTTTGCACATTGTATATTAGGGTGAGGTTTATAAAGTAAAGAAATTTGGAATGCCACTCTACAATGCTAGTCTTTTGTGTATTGCCACATGTTGCACATTTTCATGATGATTTTTAACTGTACAATGTGATGCAATAACACTGCCTGCTGATAATTCAAGAGTGTTTCGGTTGTTCTTGAAAAAGTTACATTTAGAAGCTCCACACCCATCCCACCAGGACTTGGACTAAATAAAAAATTAGCCACTGGACACCAGCTGCCAGTAAGAACTGAGACTGAGCCCATACTGATACTTAGTCATGTAAGTCATGCTTGTGTCTTTTCTCGTTTTGGTGCATTTTTTACATAAGGTGTACATTTTCAAAGCTCTTGCTGCAAAAATCCAAACTGATTACACTGCTAGTCAATCTTTCAAAACTCAAATAAATATCTCATGCTTCTCACTAGTTATAAATAATTTCAGTCCACATGATCATGGTTTCAAAACACAAAATCTATGTAATAAATTGAGAACATTTGGTTTATTCGCTGATATACAACAATCTTTCAATTGAGTACTTTTAACACTTACTTTTTGAGTACTTGCATAACTGACATAGTATCCATAAAGTTTGTATTATATTTTATATAGATATAACAGTCATGAGGTGTGTAGAACGGTTTGCTTCCAATACAGTAAATGATGTCACTTTACCATACACTCTTAAAAATAAAGGTGCTTCAAAAGGTTCTTCACAGCGATCCCATAGAAGAACCATTTTTGGTTCCACAAAGAACCATTCAGTCAAAAGTTCTTTAAAGAACCATCTCTTTCTTACCTTTTTGTAATCTGAAGAACCTTTTTTCACCACAAAGAACCTTTTGTGAAACAGAAAGGTTCTTCAGATGTTAAAGGTTCTTTATGGAACCATTTAGACAAAACGGTTCTTCTATGGCATTGTGAAGCACCTTTATTTTTAAGAGTGTATGCCTCTGTCTAGACTGTAGTTCCGCCCCTTTCTTGGGTGACTTGCATTACTTTGACAGTCTCTACCACGGTAAGGCCTCTGTTTACAGTCCCACACGGCATACTGTAATGTAAAACGGTGATGCCATCTATCTCCTTTATTCAGATGTCTCTGATCAATCTGACAGACTCTATGTATATTTATCACAAATCTCTCTCTCTTTCTCTCATACACACGCACACACATACTTTGAACATTGTGATTCTTATCTGTTTTAAATTGCTTATACTGTTACAATAATTCATTATACTTGGTTATCCATTTTGGAAATTGCAATCCATGCAATTCTACGGAATCCATATCTGTAGAAATGTATAGATGCCAAATGATTCACTGATTAACCATTCAAATCAGTTGGATTAAATCATAGACCGACGTTTTAATGTGAACGAGAAGAGAGGCCAATGAAACGTTTGGTAGTAATAGCATTATGAAAGGCAGTTGCTGTGAATTAAAAATTGACATGTGAATTTTGATGATCCATAGTGAGATTAGTACTAAGCATTCTAAGAAACTTGTGTAAGAGTACTAAGAAGCCTGTGAACTATGAATACTTATAAAAAATAAAAATAAATAAATGCAAAAATAAATTGAACTGCTGTAAAACAGCTCTAAAAAGACAACAGTGTCATTGTTCAGCTCATGACAGTTCAGTATTGATTCAGTTCAGTTAATCAATTATGAAAAATTCAATTAATCAATATGGAGCTCTACAAAAGACAATGTTATTCAGCTTGAGTCAGTTCAATAAAAGTACTGGAGTTTTGTCAGTTATGAAACTAATTTGATTTAGTTAAGAAATAGATCTAGAAGACAGTTTCATCAAGTTCTTGCGTTTAAATTCAGTGGAATGAAAAAAACAAGGTCAAGAGACATGTTTTTTAAAAAGTTTAACTACTTTTAGCATGAGCGCCACGTTTTTAGAACTGTGTGTCATGCGGGACACAGCAAAAGATGCAAGACCCGGGTATAACTGTCATATGCATCTGCCCACCATGTTTAGACAACAATGGAAAAGAAGTGCAGTGTAAGGCAAAAATCCATTCTGTGTGAATTGTCTCTCAAACTACGGTCACAAAGCACATTTACATGCACAACTTGATATCAGACTAAAGCAATAATTTGCCTTCTTTTTTAAAGTGAGCTATTGCAATACATTGCATGGCAATGGATAAAAACAAAACAGTTCCTTCAGGAAACAACAGTGAGACACGTTACAAAGTCAGGAAGATTAGAAGACAACAGCAGCATCTGAAAACAACCAATAGTATCACAGGGTACACAGAATAACAGCACTGACAATTTCAAAGTCAGACTAACAGACCTAGATAATGCGATCTGTATCTCTGCTTAATGGCATTCCGACAGAAGTGACATGCAACATGAATTTAATCCTTCCAAGAATTCAACTACACCTTTCGTCATGTATATTTGGACAGAGATGAAGACTGAAGCTGAAGTGTGCAAAAACTAGTACTTTCAAACATACTTATAATCTTAAACTCTTTTTGTTTGATGCTAACAAACCATGTCAGCGCAGCAGGGAATGACACAAGCACCTTTCTGTAAACTGACAGGAAAATCTTACTTAATACTGCAACTAGGTGACAGAAGCCCTTGATCTTAGAGGGCCATGCACCTGGAGTGGGCGAGGGGCTTAATGGGCTCAAGTTTGTTTAGTACCGTTTATTTGTCATATTCTCCTTTGACTCCTGTGAAGGCAGCTTGTTTTGAGCTTCACGTGTGTATGTGGTGTAGAAGGGTTTTTACCTGCAGCGAGGAAGACTGGGAGTATAAATCAGCCATTGTGTGTGTGTGTGTGTGTATGTGTGTGTGTGTGTGTGTGTGTGTGTGTGTGTGTGTGTGTTTGGTGACAAGTCAAAGGCCTCAGGTTCAGTTACAGAGGGCAGCTGTGTTTGCGATGGGGAAAGTGCACATGCTTTCTGAACCTAATTGAAAACCGAGATCAGTGTTGCTTTACTGTGAAACCACATGAGACTATGTCCCTAAGACATCTTACAGAGTATTTAACCTGGTCTGGTGGGTGGTCTGCTGTTGATCCAATCAAAGGCATGCAGAGGGGCTTTACATTTTCAGTTTTTCTGTGCATGCAGAAGTCATATTTGTTGTAAAAGTTTGCATGGTGAATTTAAATCCTTCTCTAAATCAAATGTAACCACCATGTGGTCACACTGCCACTATTTCCTTGCTCTCTTTCCACACAACACAGCCATGGCTGACATTTTGAGATGAGACTTGGAGTTGCATGTAATATATGTAAGGAGCTCCAGTGGTTCTTCCCTGTTGGGATGTCAACCATATGGTTTGCTCATAAATCACGTTCCCAGAGTTAGATGAACTAAAATGCTGTTTTCCTCCATAGCCGTGAGCCAGTATTAACAGCCAGAGCATTCAGGCTCTGAATACAGGAAGAGAAAGCAGGTTTGTGTGTTAGGTGTAATGTCTGAGTTGAGCCATTAGGAGCTGAACAGCAACAGATGTGACTGTGAAGGCCTGATCTTCTGCTCTCTCATGAGATCCCTCTCTTTTTCACCTAATCTATTTCTCATTTCCTTCAAATAAACAGACGGTTTTAGGAATTGTAACATTTTTAAGTAAAAGTTACGAAGCAAAATTAAGATTAACTATTTTTAGGTGACTAATCAAATAAGGTCGTAAATTTGTGACATTGATGTCATGATTTTTTTAGTCAGAAGTTCTTCAATTAAAGCACAAAATGCTCTTTGGATCAATCTCAGATCATGCTGAATAACATCAGGTTTTTGTACAAACAACTGCTTTTCCATTGATAGGGGTTTCTATTGAAATATATTTTAAAATGTACTCCTGTGATGTAAAGATACATTTTCAGCATCATTACTCCAGTTTTCAGTGTCACATGATCCCCTTAGAAATCATTATAATATGCTGATTTGCTGCTCAAGAAAAAAATCTTCTTATTATCACTATTGAAAACAGTTGTGCTGCTGCTGTTTTTGTTGATAATTTTTTTTGATGATTCAAAAGACCAGAATTTATTTGGAATAGAAATACTTTGTAACAAAATAACTTTACTGACATTAATTTCTTTCAAAGTCAACTTTTGAATGGTAGTCTATTTTAATTAAACTGAAGCATTATGCATCATGGAGTTTTAGCCATCTAGATGTGCCAAATGTGTCTTTTTTTAGGATCAGTGTTCTAAAACGATAGCAATATCATAACGATAGCTGTGAATGTTGAGCCTTACTGGAATGCATGGTATATGTCCTGCATCACTGTTGTTGCCCAGACTCTAACCTGCTTCATTTATTTTGTCTTACTCACCTAATGAGTCTGTGTCTGACCGACTGACTGACTGTCTGTGTTCAGTGATGGAATGTAGAGTCACTCTCTTAGCGAGTGTATAGAACCTCGACTAACACAATAAGCTTCTTTATGTTTATTATCAAGCACTGACTGTGATGCACAGTCCCCATTTTAATCTTCACACATGTGATTTTCTGTGAACCTTGGAGACAATAACAATAGTTGCAGCACACTTTCAGCACTGCTGATGAATCATTTGTGATGCAAATGTTTTTGCAAACTGGGGCCTGCTCGCCTTGTCCAGATTCTGGGACAATATTGTACATGGGAGTTTTTACATGGGTGGCATAGTGTTTATCCATAAACAATCATGTGGGTATTATTTATGAGTAATTTGTCTTTATGCTTGAGTGTCTGATCTTTGTCAGTAGCATTACTCATTAACAGGACCAAATCTCAATAAATCCTTAAATCACCCTTTTTATGCTGGTATTCTTTCATTACCACATGCAGAACACAGTGAAGAAGGCAAGCTACTATGTACTGTCCGTCCTGCGCACATTATTTTCTGTGTAACATTGAAGAATCAAATGGGTAATAACATCAACAAATGTCCACATTTCTTTAATTTAGGGAGTTTGTTCTGGATTTCGAAAATTAACAAGATTACCAAAGACTAGATGACTTTACATTAGACAGCCTTAAAAATACTTGCATCTTTTGGACAGAAATATTTGCAGTAACCAATGATACTACTTTTGTAACTAAATCGAATAAAAAAATAAAAGAAAGAAGAAGAAATACAACAATTTACAACGTTCTTGTGGAACAAATAATGATCTT